ATATATATATATATAAGCTGTGTTATAGCTAGATAGACCTGGCAATTCATTTGTTAGATGCAGTTAAGTTTAAGATTAATGCCTCATCTCACACCTACTGAATTCTTAATGGAAATGTGTCCAGTGTCCCAGAATATACTCCACATAATGCAAGTGCTATTTTTACAGGCATTATACCTTAAATAAGGCATGCTGGCAGAGTTCAGACTGAGAGCACTTCTGACTGATTATTCAGTCTTCACAGTTCTTCAAGGGTTTTTAATCAAATCTGTTACCAGGGGTCGCCCCCAACCAAAGAAAAGTAATTATCCTGACTTTATGAGTATTTAGATTTATTACCAGCATCATACAAGCCAATTAACCTCACAAAGCACAGATACATGCTCCAATTGGAAATTTCAAGCTAATTTTACAGTTAACCTCTTAAAATGGCGCAAAGGTCTCTTTGGAATTCATATTAGCCTGTGCTGATAATCACACAACAAAAGAGGCTATTGTATGTTACTATGTCTATCATTTTTGTCTATGTTTGCGAGAATGTCTGACAATTTGTATTTTATTTTTTATTGTATTACAAAATATTAATTAAATATGAATTCATACATATTTTAAATGAATACTTTTTACATTGACTATTACATAAAGCCAGTAGACGAAAGCATTTCAGCTAGGGCAGTTGATTGTGAGGAAGACATTCTTAAGAAATAAACTTCTTGAAAATATTGAAACCTCGTATAGCCTCATGCCACATGGTTCAGTGCGGATTAAAAGCAATATTTAACCATCTTCTGCACTGACAAAATTTTTTTACAAAAAGATATTTTTATACACAGTACAAAATATGATTTTATACAGTTTATGGAGATGATGATGCAAAAGACTCAAATCAGTACTTGTACACTGTTTTAAGCAGCGACTGACTTTATACATTCACAGCCAAGTCTCAAATCCTCATAAACTCATTCTGTCACTTTCCTTTGGCTTATTCTCTGCTTTATCAGGGGTCACCACAGCCAATTCCACTGTGAAACATATGCCAGAGACAATTACTTTGGCATATGTTTAACCAGAGAATGCCCTTCTTCCGCAACCAAGCATTAAAATTACAACTCACAGTTCTGTGTAATACCCATGCACATTCCCTTCATACACTATGGCCAGTTTTATTTAATACAACTCACTTACTGTATCTTGCATGTTTTTGAACTGTGGGGGAAACCAGAGCACCACACGAACTCCACACGAACAAGTGGTGAACATGCAAACTCCACAAAGAAAAGCCTCGAAGAGGCGACCTTCCTGCTTTGTGGCTAATGTGCTAACCATGAAGCCACCATCTTGCGATCGCTCATGAACTCATTATAAAATAAAAATTCTGTAATTTAATAGTTTGATGACTCTCAAGTTTTTTTTAAACCTGTTTGAGTTTCTTAATGCCGAGTTCAGACTGCATAATTTTAGCCCGCCGGCAGGTTTTGAGAAATCATGGGTAACAATCACACAGTGTAAACTTTCAAAGACATGATCTGAGAGAATTGCAGATGAGTCGCCGACACCTATCAGATGTTTGTCATGCTAAATATCTGGAGTTGCCACTAGTATGGTATCTGCAGGCCAGCGGAAAGTTGAAGGAGAAGTTAAGGTCTTCTTTTCGGTCTATTTGGACCCAAGAAATGCAGGAAAAATTACTGTAAATTTGACAGGAGCAACTGTGTCTGTTTGATGTGTCATCTGAGCAATATCACAACCAGATCCAAAAAGAAAATGTTAAGTGAGGAATTGCAACACAGGCTTATTCTGAAAATGTCCTGCAAATTATGTAGCCGGACGTACATATGGCTGCATTTCATTTTTTTAAGCGAATGCAACGAGGCCATATGACGTTGGTTCTTTTGGCGCCTACTGGCTGACCACTTACCTCCGTGTGGAGGGCTTTCCCGCCACAACCAGTTTGTTCAGCTAGCTAGTCGTGTACGCTGGCTGACTTGAGACGCAGAAAGGAGTTGAAAACGACAACAACTGGGTTCGAGTCCGGGGAAGAGCGGTTTCAGAAATCAGGTAAGACAAAAACAGAATCCAAAAATTAAAATGAATGAGTGAACAACAGGGTGAGAATGTGGTAAAATCTGAAAATGTGGTAAAAATCAGACGAGGGCTTTTCTTTTCCTGGACGGCTTTTGTAAACCATCGGCTGAGTTTAGGGAAGTATGCATTATATCACGATATAATGTTCACGATTCGATATTTATCATGATATTTGGAATAAAAATTTTTAATTAAACTGAAATGCAAATTTTACCAATAAACTATTTTTTATGTATTTCGTTTGTTTCAACTTGTTAAACTGAACCTTCTTTAATAAAATAAATTAAACAGGCCTGTCTCTGGAAAATAAAACAATTTAAAAACTTCTTAAAAAATATTATTGAAATGACAGAGTGTCACCGACTCGGTCCCAGTCATTCCCCTCGCTGGCCAGCAGAGGCCGCTATCTCCGGACTTCTAGCATTACATCATCCACTTATGCTGATTGTGCACACACCTGTCCTGAATCTGGTTAACGACCCATGTACCCTTCTTAAGCCGCAAACAAACACTCAGTCAGTGCGATGTCTTGTTCAGCCCCGGCCAGCATTACTGAGCGTTATATCCAGCCTGATCTCCTGTGTACGACTCCAGCCCGTTTCTGACTTTGCTTCGCCTTCTGCCTGCCCACGACCCACGCCTGAAACACGGACTCTGATTCTCACTGCCTGCCCTTGACCCAAGCCTGCTACACGGACTCTGAATCACGCCACTTGCCTTTGATCCATGCCTGGTAACTCACTCTGTGTCTGTTTACCGTCATTCCTGAAACCATTACTACTACTGTGGATGTGTGAGTACACCCAGGTGCATATTGTGTGTTTGAGTGAGATTGTGATAAATAAATACTGCATAATGGATCCCTCCGTGTCAGTCTCCTTGTTACACAGAGACAAAATTAAGGAACAATTTAAGTAAAGGTGCAAAAAAAAAAAAAAGCTTTCTATTCAATTGATTTTAACAGTAAGAGCTTAAGGCTTTGCTTGGTCACTTGCGTTTTTTGGGTGTGCAAAAAAAAAATCCACATTTCCAGGTATTTAATTCATATTTAAACTCATTTAGAGATATCTCTAATTACAATTGTGACTAGTCAAAACTCATTAAGAGATATCTGCAAATATTTTTCAATGGAGGAATATGACTAGTCATAATATATTTGCAAATATCTCCAATCTGATTTCGTACTAGTACAATTGTAATTGCAGATATCTCTAATTGTCATTCTGACTAGTCTAATTATAATTATGACTAGTCAAAATATAATTAGAGATATCTCTAAATATATTTATGGATAGTCAGAACAAAGGTTTAAATGCTAAAACGGCTTGCCATACGCGTGCGTCTAGTCCGCCCTCTGTAGAAACAGCTCACGGTCAGCTCACGTCATGTGTGATTTTGCGGCCGCAATTACATCATTATATGAAGACAGAATGATATTTTATGGTGAATTGTACCTTATAAATACAGTATGTGACTCTTTTAACACCATTTAGAAGGTATCCATGTCGCTGTGCAAAGTATGTAAATCACTGTGAAGACTTTAAAACTTAAGATGTTTGACCCAGTATGCGTGTCAAAAAGCGGACGAGTCTAAAGCAATGACTGTACAACCGAAATGTTGCCAGACGTCTGATTTTGAGAGGATGGGCCATCCTCTATTTCAGCTCCACTCATCTTGGTCTGCTAACATTACTGTGCTGCAATCTGAACTCACGTGTGACAGCAGGTGGAACTAATAAGAGAAAATGGACGTCATATCGTAATCAAATCGTCATAACGCCACGATGCATATTGTGACATTTTTGCATCAAAATAATCGTACAATGATAAATCGTTACACCCCTAGTACTTAATAACAAAAGATATACTATGTGACATCACATTGTTTCAGTGTCACTTCTCACGTGTGTTTGGTTGCGAGACAAATATTAGTTTGCAGACAGAGACAAAATTGTCAGCGATTCTTCCTATTGTAAAGTCATGCAGTGTGAAACCCCTTGTCGCTAAACCATCTTGCAGTGTAAACGCAGCAGCGATGGAATTTCACGTTTAGGATTAATCCGCGGGTCACATTTGTTTCGAATTATGAGTTGTTATCTATAAAAATAAAGGATCAACTATGATCCACAACCCCCTTAGTTTAAGGTAACATAAAGACAGCTTGACTTTAATCCCTCTTTGTTGCATGGTATTTGAAGCAGCTGAGCTGAGTACACCTTCATGATACCTTAACCCAGAATTAGTGCAAACTAAACTTAAACCTAACTACCAAGCAAGCTAATGGCTTCATGGTTTCATGATACAGGCCCCTGATGAAGCCCTGCCAGTTCTACAACAGAAATCAGCTAGAAAGAATTACTGAAAGCCATTATAATAATAGACATGCTAAATTAATATCCGATCCCGCTTTAGCATCCGGTTTCACTTTCTTTCCTCCATCAAATCAATAAAACCACTCCATATCTCCTCAAAACTGTAACATCATAGTTCCTTTTCAAACATAAGTAAAGTGCCAAGTAGGACCATCACTTTTTAATATGTTATTGAAAAATTCATATGCCTGTTTAGCTTAGAAAGTGGTCTGCATCAATAACTGCATTAAACGTTGTTAATCAATACTGATGTAGAGAGAACTAGCAACACATTGACACGCGCTACGTCAATATAGCCTACATTCCCAGCAGTGCATCCTAAAAGTCCAGTGGGTCATGGCAAATCACTTCCTCCTGAATAATATATTGAGCAAAGCATTCGCACAAACGGGGGAGATGAGCACTACAGTTATCGAAAAGCAAGGCCAAGGACCAACTAAATGGCCCGATAAAACCTCCCATCCATCCTTATTCCCAAAATCAATTGCAATCACCTCATCCAGGGGTCAGAAGAGAGGGTTTGTCTGCACTCAAGATACTCACACTCACTGTACTGCTGTAGTTGGGAGAATTCAGCTGGGCTCAAACACACCCAGTCTCCCATCTCGCCGATCAGGGCAGGAGAAAACAGGCCGATCGTCCTCAGGTCAGGGATGAGAATGAGACACTATGATCTGGCATGGTCACATCTCCTTCTATTGTGAGCAGATGGCGAATTGGCTTCCCCGACGTGAAGTTGTGAAAGGACGGAGCGACGTGAGGAGCAGGACGGTGTGAAGGAGAGGTGCGTCGTGCCACCGGTTGGAGCAAATGATGACCTGTCAACCAGCGTGATCTGTAGAGAGAAAGGGAAAGAAAAAACAGATTTAGAGCACTCTCAAAGCTGACATAAGGTTATCGACTCATGTCAAGCATATTTATTACAAGGTCTATGAATGTAGCAAATGGGCCAGTGACAACAATGCCTGTGTGTCTGATATATCTTTATTGTTTTCCAAGAGAGATCAAATGGAGATGAAATTTAGACTATAGGATGAGTTCTGGTTTTCCATATGAGTCTCTGTTTTAGGCCGGGGAGTTTTTTGGTGGATTGAAATATACCATGCCTGTGAATGTTCTGAATATAGACACTCCTGTGGTTTCAAAATTTTTACACAAGACAATCCTCCTGCTCCTGTTGTCTTTAAAGGGCCATGAAACCCCCTTGTTTCAGCAGGGTGTTTTCACACCTCTACTTTGGAAAAAGTCAGAAAAGTGGGCGTGTCCAGCTCTGTTTAGGGGGGAGTGTCGGAGGAACTAAAGTGGGATGGTGTGGGAGTGTCTATTTGGGCACGCGCCAGTTTCAGAGTCAAAATACACACACACAAACACACACACACACGGGAGAAAGTGATGGTGTTTACATGGACATCTGTAGTCGAATTGTTTGCCAAATTATTAAATGGTGGACTTTAACTGCAGTTTGGCTCTTTCATTCAGGGAATTCATTCATGTCCCTCGTGACAATTGAGATATTTGATTCGAGGAACTGCTCTAAGCGTTTATTTTTCATGCAATGTTTGATACCGCATGGCGAATGACTCGGTGCAATAGTTAACTTGCACTCGGTGCAATAGTTAACTTAGTTCGATACGAACAAACTGAATAAACAAAGAGCACTGGTCGCTAACTTACCAAATCTGTAGAGACAGGACAATCACCAGCAACTAGAGCCGCGTCTTTATTAAGAGAAGACTACAAGCGAATCCGGATCTCAGCGTTTGCAGATGAGAACAGCTCTCAGGTAAACAATAATCCTCCTTAGACACGTAAGTTATTGTTGTCGAGCGTCGCGTACACTGTTAATCCACACGGTTTGGTTATTACTCAGCCTTACTCATGCATTAATGCATCACACTGTAAGACGTAATAAGACACACTCTGGTACAGGCTTCCAGTCTGCACGCTGGAATACAACGCTATTATATCATGGCCGCGACGCAGCTTCAAAAATTTGTTTCAAACCAGAAGTACGAATTTGTTTAAAATACTGCAAAAACAACCAATTTACACTTTTTAGCGAAATATAGGTGTCCTAATAGTGTTTTTAGCAGTGTGGGACACATATACGACTGTCAACAGCTCAAAAAAAATGTGTTTTGGTGTTTAAACCTTTTAACAGTATTTGAACTAGGTATTTAGTAATCTTAAAAAAAGTAAAAAAAATAAATAAATAATGAGTAACTAGGTTGATTAGGTTAAGTAGACAATATAGGTTGATTATTAGGCAAGTCATTGGACAACAATCAAAATAATCAATAATAGAGCCAATCAAATAAAATCATTTATATTTCATTCATTCATTTTCTTTTCGCCTTAGTCCCTTTATTAATCTGGGGTCGCCACAGCAGAATGAACTGCCACTTTATCCAGCATGTTTTTACGTAGCGCATGTCCTTCCAGCTGCAACACATCTCTGGGAAACATCCACACACATTCATTCACACACATACATTACGGACAATTTAGCCCACCTAATTCACCTGTACCACATGTCTTTGGGCTGTGGGGGAAACCAGATCACCCGGAGGAAACCCACGTGAACGCAGGGAGAACATGCAAACTCTACACAGAAACTCCAATTGATCCAGCCGAGGCTCGAACTAGCGACCTTCTTGCTGTGAAGCGACAGCACTACCTACTGCGCCACCATAGTTTTTTCTGTTTTTAAAGAAATTTAATATGACTATAAATTGATATTCTATTTTTATGCTATTAATATCAGCCCTAAATATCCTTTTAATATAAAAATTGATTTTATTTCAGCAAAAATAAAAGAAATGAGACTTTATACAAAAGAAAACATACAATAGGGAAATTTCCTTGCTCTTTTAAGCAGCACTTGGGAAAAGATTGAAAACGAATACAAGTATCATATAGGAAGACTAATCACTTTACCTTCAACTGTACCTGTTTTTGTGGTAGCTGTGATTACTGTTTAAGTTTGGTCTAAATATGTCTGTTTATATTCACTCATCAATGACATGCATACATATCTTTATTCATCATACGTTTATGTATATGTAAGTATGTGCATACCGGGATATTTGCACAGTATCTCATTCATTTTCCTTCGGCTTAATCCCTTATTTATGAGGGGTTGCCACAGCGGAGTGAACCACTAACTATTCAAGCATATGTTTTATGCAGCGGATGCCCTTCCAGCTACAACCCAGTACTGGGAAACACCCATACACTCTCACAATCACATGCTATGGCCAATTTAGTTGATACAATTCATCTATACCACAAGTCTTTCTACTGTGGGGGGAAAACCAGAGCACCCAGAGGAAACTCAAGCTAACACTATGAGAAAATGCAAACTTCACAAAGAAATGCCAACTGGCTCAGTCGGGACTTGAACCAGTTGCCTTCTCACTGTGAGGCGACAATGCTAACCACTGAGCCACCATACCATCTGCACAATATTTGCTTTTGACCAATGAAAAGAGTCTAGAACATCTACAATTTATAAAATTATAGTTATTGTAAATGAAGTAAATTATTTAGCACAAAGGAAAACTAAATCTTTTTATGGACTACAACTTTAATTTTAGCATGCAAACATATGAAATGCACTAAAAGCTCAAAGGAAATTAAGTATGCAGTGACTACAATACGTGCAGTTGTGAATATTTCATTACTTACTCGCTGTATGTGGCCATTTTACTTCATATACATGATTTTTCTCTTATATAGAACACACAGCTGAAACCAGAATTATTAGCCCTTCTAATAATAAAGAAGATTTCTTTTAAACCCATTTCTAAACAATGGTTTTAAAAACTCATTTCTTAAAACTGATTTATTTTATCTTTTTCATGATGCCAGTACATACGGTAATATTTACTAGATATTTAGGTAACACTTTATTTTGATGGTCTGAGTAGTAGACTGTCTGCTTAATATCTGTTGATACTGCTCCTTAAACAGACATTTAACTGACTATAAAAAAACTTTACAAGAACATGTCAACCTACACTTACCCAAACCCCAACCTAACATTCTACTTATTATCTAATGAGACTTAGTTGGCATGTAGATGTAATGTAACTTAAATTCAACAAACGGACAATCAAAATAAAGTGTGCTGTTATTCTAGTGAAAATAAAACAAATAAGAAGTAGAAAGAAGTAGAAAGAAAAAAAATGATAGTAAATACTCAGAAAAATTCAATGCTCTGTTAAACTTAAATATTATATATATTATATAATGTTGTATTATAATTATATAATATATATATATATATATATATATATATATATATATACATATATACACACACTACTATATATATAATAATATTATAACTACATGGTTTCCGCTGCATTTATTCTTCCATGACGGGGTGCCACAACAAAATTCATTCCCGCCACGGCTACATTACAGCTTCTCATTCAAAACAATCAGTCGTTGTTGTTTTTGTTTTTTTAATAGTTGGTTAGAAATCGCAACAAAACGTATTAAAAGGTGAGTGAATTATAACAGTGCAAACTTTTCTGTAGCAGAAGTCGTGCTGTGCGTTGTTTAACCCTTTAAGGTTACATGCTGTCTGACTGACTGACAAGGCTGCGTGATGCGTAAGCCAGCAAACATGAAGTAGTTTTCAGTTATGATGAACACAGTTTCCATAATTATATTTTATAGATAAAGGTCTATGGTTCTGCATACAATGACTTTATCTATCTGGAGTTTATAGCCGTTTCACATCTGCATCAATGCCATTCTGTAGGTCTATTGGAGACGTTCATAAATATTTAAATCTACTAAGTGTTGGAGACATACAGGTACTTGTTACATAAATGCACTAAACCATACTTCAGCAGCATTTATTTGAGAGCGCACAAAAAATATGCACTTAAGCAGCGTATATTTGAAGGAGCGTGCAAGAATTTTGTGCATGAAAAAAGAAATCAGCGTGCAAGCAAAGATATTCGCATGCTCTTATGAATGCGATATCCATTTGTAATACTGTGTTCACAGCATTTGTCATTGAAATAACGCCATAGGTAGTTGGAAAATCTGTGTAAAAAGCTTACCGCCACAGCTAGACAAAAAATTGAGGAAACACTATATATATATTGCATTTCCCTTTCTTCTTTATAATTTCCCTTTTTGATTACAGCAATAATTAACGGCTACATTTCTCTCTTTTGTTTACATTTAAGAGATTACACAATAAAACAAACGAAAAAACATGAACTTGAATATGTATTTAAACCAAACACAGTAGAAAAGACCACTACACAAAGCATTTTCTGAGCAATAAATTTTTACTCCAGGGAGCCATGATCAAAACAATCTTGTTTATTTTGCCTTTATTTTTGACAAGGTGCACAAGTCGTGCTGTTTTACCCTAAGTTGGACATTTGGTTCGCTCCAGTACACCCAGTTAAAACCGCATAGCAGCGCTTCTCCATAGAGTTCAAAGGGCCACTCAGCAAATGACTCACATGGGCCTGGCCTGCTTCTGTGCTCAGCACGCCACAACAATCAATGTGCCTCTCTCTCTCTCTGTCTGCTGAATACTCTCGTTCTGACTCATTTCTACTCTCTCCTTCTGTCTCGCTCCCTGTTCGGTCACTCCCAATGAGTTCGAGCAGAGTGAAAGATCAACAGCAGTTTGCCAGAACATCCATGGGGAGGGAAGAAACGGACAAAAAAAAATGCGCATGAGAAACTGCCATGATGAAAAGAGGAAGAGACAAAAATCAATGGAGTTGATAGGGCTGCAATGAGTTACAGCATGCCAGGGAGTAAGTTCATGCCCAGTGGTTTAAAAAGCACACAGTGACG